AGCTCAAGCATCCTGGCACCTTGGTCCCATTCAGATGTCACTTAAGATCTTGCCCAGGGGGTGGGGGTGGGGACAAATAAGCTGTGTCTAGCAATGGGACACTGTTTAAATAAGTGGTGGCATCTTGGTTTTACGCAGCCATTAAAAATATGTTTTGGAGGAATATTTAGAGATGCAGGAAGAGTCTCACGATGAAAGCACGGTGGGGAGGCGGGGTATTAAGCCATGCCCCCCTACATTTGAGGGCACTGAAATGTTAACTATGCCGATTTCTTGGGTAGTGGGATTTGGGCTGATACCTTTTTCTTCTTTTACTTTTCTGTATATTTCTGGGTTTTTTTAAGGGTAAATTTTACTAATCTTAGAATTAGGAAAGCACAGGTGTTTTGATTTTAATGTATCTGGCTATTGCAATTCAATTTATAGGTGCTGGGTGTCCCATAGGGGTTGGTGTGTCCCCAGAATCCTTATCAGGGGACAAAGGTCCCTCCAAGCCCCCTCTTGTGCAGCTGTGAGAACAAGGATGTGACTTGGTAGTCCTCTCCAATTGCAGGCTTTTGTTCCTGAGGTGGCACCAGCAGTTTTGGCGAAAGCTGCAAGTTTAAAAATATCTGCATCAGGTGTATTGGCCCCACCTTCCCCTCTGGATTGGAAGGTTCCTGAACAAGCTTTCTTCCCTTTCATCCTTCCTCTATCCCCTCATCTCCAGGGCTAGGCAGCCAGGGGTGCTATACTGGGTATCAATGCAGGGAGCTGAGGCACATGGCTGGTTCTGAGCTCCCTACGGGGAGGCCTGCCCTGCCCCTCCCCCGGGCCTCCTTCTTTTCCGGGCATCTCCTTGGTGCCAGCTCCTATGGTCCCACCACAGGGACCCAGCACAGGACCCTTCCTGGTATAGCTGGGCTCCCAGGGTCCCCAGGAGCTGGTTAGGAGTAGATTCTTGCAGCCTGCATCACCTTCATGGAACCGAAGTAAGGTTAACCTCAGTAAGGTTAGGAATCTGCCTAACCACTTACCAGGGCCTGCCCACCTCTTTTTCTTCTTTTTTTTTCTAAAGGTTTTCTTTTTCTTCTTTTTTTTTGGCCAGGGCTGGATTTGAACCTGTCACCTCTGGCATATGGGGCTGGTGCCCTACTCCTTTGAGCCACAGGTGCTGCCCCTGCCCACCTCTTCTTAACAGTCTGGGGACACTGAGGGTAGAAATGAGTGAGCCCCCCGGAGCAATGTTGGGGGCCTCTTCAGGGCATGGTTGGGTGACAAATTTCTCCCAAAACAAAGTGCAGTGGGCACAGGCACCCCATGGGCATGGCTCTCAGAGCATGTCCTCCAAGGGCCGTTCTAGAACAATCCATCTTGGGACTGAGTGTCGTCTGTCAACAAGCATTTTTGAACACTCACTCTAATGCCTGTCACTGAGCTGGGGTATTCATCAATGCTTCCTTGTTTGTTTTAAAGTTTAGGTCATTCTCCCAGCAGCCCTGGTGGGAGCTGTCACCTTCCTCACCTGATCAAGGAGGGAATGGGGCCCTCAGAGGGGTTGGGTGACCTGCCTAGCATTGCCCCTCTGTGAGCTGAAGTAGAGCTGGGTTTTGATCTCAATCTTCCTGGCCCTGCACCAACTCACTGCAGCTGCTGTGCGGGTGCGGACAGAACAGGACTCCACGGAGGGCCTCTGCCTCCTAGTTCAGCACCTTTTACTAGGGCCAGGGTGGGAAAAGCCTCCATGAGACCAAGGTTCTCTTGAAGTAGACTCAATAGTTGGTGCCCTCTTATTGCAGGAGGAGCTGCAAAGCCTGTGGCTCTCAGGAAAAAATTCAAGGTCATAGTCGTGAAAGACAAGGCAATGCATAATGGAAGCAAAGGTCTCCAGGGCTGCAAAACTGGGAGAGGTCTCTGGTTATCACCCTCCTCAATTCTCTAAGCTTCCAGCTGACGTCCAGCCTGGCAGTTTATAGCAGGTGTTGGCCAGGGCTGTGCAGTGTCAGAAGGGTCACTCTGGTCCCTCTCTCTGTCCCTTATGGCTTTCCTATGGCTGGGGGCTGCGGTGGCTGGCTGCCCTGCCTGGATTTGGGTAACTTGGTCCAGTGATAGGAGGAAGCCCATTTGACCCGTGGCCTGAGCCATGTCCTCTCATCTGTCTTTACCCACCAGGAAGCTCATATTCTAGTGCTAGGGCTCTGCTGCTTCCTAATCATTTCAGAACGGGGGTGGGCAGCAAGGGGGACTGGTTAGTGAGCTCCTCTGGAACACTGCCAGCAACTTAGGGCCTTGAGACTGTGGTTCTGTCCAGCTGGCCTCCCCCTCATGTTCTATGGATGGGCCTGGCTTGCTCAGTTGTCCAGGCACCCACACTGTATGCAGGGAGCCTGTAGGTCTCCCAGCTCACTGGTGACAAGGCACCTTGATGATCTCAATGGCATGACCCAGAAGCTAAAACCAGCCAGGGTACCAGGGAGCCAGTGACCCAGCATAAAGCCAGAAAACCTGGCCTCGGCCAGGCAGAGTCTACTTCCCCCTAGCCCCAGTTTCCCTCTTGGGAGGCCCACAGTGTCCCCAGACTCAGGGACACTGTTTACCTTAAACACCCACAAAGACTTGAGGACAGTTCTTCCCCCGCCTCCCCACATCAAGAAGAGAACGTTTTAAAAATGTTTTTATTTAATTAAAAAAAAGACAGAACTAACAACCCAAAACCAGTAGTAGGTATAGGATTCACGGGTGCTTAACTGCAAAACACACAGGGGCGGAAGGGCATGGGATGAGGGGCAGGAGGCAGGCACAGGCCACCGCTCCTGGGGGTGGGGTCGGGGGGAGAGGCGCCAGGTCTGAGGTGCAGCAGGAGGAAGGGGTGACCCAGACTCCAGGGCCCCAAGACGGGCCGGCTGGGGTGGGGGAGGCTGTGAAGGCCCCAGTGTGGGAGGTGGTTTTGCTCCCTGCTCTTCCTCCTCATCTTCGTCCTCTTCCTTGGTCCCTAGAGTGGGCCTTGCGTGCGTTCTCTGCCTGGGACTGGGTAAGAGGTAGGATTCACTGGAACACAGCTTTCTCTATGGAATTACAGAAACTTCCAGGGCAGTGGGGAAGGGGGAGTGGTATGGAGAGGAAACAAAGGAACAGAGCAGCCAGGCTGCCTTGCCGGTGGAAAGAACAGGACTCTCAGGGCCTTGCGGGCCACGGGGCGGTGGGTGCTGCCTTCCTTCAGCCTGGTAAGGCTGTGTCATAGCGTGGGGTGGTGGTTGGGGACGGGATTGGTCAATGGCAGGGGCAGGCCACAAGCTCTGACGCTTCAGCGCTCACCGCTTGCATGCTTAGACACACCACCACACAAAGCCGACTGCAGCGGGAGCAAAGGGTCTCCAGCAGGCACGGAGGGGCCCTGGCACGCCTCTCATCCCAGCTCACTGGCACACAGGAGCAGTCAGCTGGGGCCGCCACAGGTGGACATGTCCTCTCCTGGGGGCCAAGGAAGGTGGGAAGGACGATGATGTCATTACCAGGCCACATGGACCCCGGTCTGAACTCCTAGGGGCCAAGTCCACCCACGGGCTCCGTGAGCAGGTGGCTGAGGTAAGAATTTGCTCGTCCCTTCTAAGTACGACAGCTACTGCGATCACAGATGACTGTCCCAAGATCTGGTCAAGAAGTCTCAAAAAGTAAGAAATGATTTATCTTTAGAAAGCACGTTTTATATAAAAGAGGGTAAGTTCCATGTTCCAGAGAGTTTTTCTTCCAAACCTGGACACACTTCCATGCTCTTTGCTTATTTCAGGAGGGGAAAAAATGGTCGGAAAAATAGTAAAACACAGAACCCACGTCCTCAGTTTTGAACAAAGTGCTGAGGTTTCCCTCTTTGGGGAGGAAGAAAAGTCCAGCTCGGCCCTTCTATCCAAACTTCCTCCACTGTGTCCCGTTAGGTGGTGGCAGAATAAATTACAATAGTAGGAGTCAGGGGACGTGTTGCTGCTAAATTTTTAGGATGAGGAAAGGAATGTAACTTGCTCTCCCGGTGTCAACTTGCAATAAATCATGATTCATAATCACCTAGCAAATAGATGTTTGTTCCCTAATTTTTTTTTCTTTTTTGGTTGCTTTTGGTCCTTGGGTCTTCCTTTCTTGCAATGTAGCCAAACGCTAAGTCAGGGGTCTGTTCCTCCTCTCCCCTGGGACTCCCACCACTCAGGGGACAGGACTGCTCCTCAGGTCAGTGGGGAAGGACACACAGCCTTTCTTTGACTTGTGGGATCTTCCAGACTCCCAAGTCTGGTCAGTGTGTCTCACCTGCCTGTGCTGAGTGAAGAGGAAACTTCCAGAAGCAGACAGGAGAGCCAGCAGCAGCCCCCAGTCTTTACTTCAGATTCTTCCATAGTCCTGTGGGGAGCAGCCCCAGGACAGCACAGAGGCTGAAGCACCAGTTGGCTGCAGAACTTTCTCCTCCAAAGAACTGTTTTCAACAACAGGCCGCTGCCAGAGTGCCAGAGAGAAGGTGAGACGGAGGGGATGGGGGTGAGCTGCAGTGTCCTCATTTCGGGCTCGAAGACACAGGATCTTCCGGTTCAAAAGCAGCTGACAAGAGTCCAGATGCCCCCTGTGCCTGGCAAAGCCTTCCTGTGGCCGGGTGCCCAGGCAGGGCAGGAAAGCCCTGAAATCCTGTTCTTCTGGCAGAATTTGTTTCCAAGAGGAGATAATGGCTCAATTTTGTTTTCCCGAGTTGGTCAAGGGCAGGCAGCCTCCGGAAAGCTCTTGGGCCTCCTGGGAGAATTTGGAAACCCCAGGGCATCGGATTCCCCCCTTTGGGGGATAAAGTCAGCCTCCAGCTTCTGCCGCAGCCTGAGTCCAGTCTCCTGGTGCTTCCTTTGCCCGAGGCCAGCCCGTGATGCCTTCTGGGGACCAGGGAGGGCTGTGTTTGGCTGGAGTTCATGGTCCGTCCATCCATCTCCCACGCCCTCCTGCGAGACACAAAGAGCCGTTCTGGGGAGAGGCCGGAGCTTCAGGCAGGGCCGGCCTCACACGGGGGTCGTCCTGCGGTTGAGCATGCTGACATGGAAGCTCTCCTTCAGGTCCTGCGGGAAGAAGTCGTGCACCTGCAGGAAGCCGGCCTCCTGGTCAGGGCTATAGCTGGCGGCGGTGGTCACCTTCAGGGGCTCCCTGGACAGCGTGTACATGGACAGCTCGCCCATGGGGATGGCCCCCGTGATCTTCAGGCCCACGGGGGAGGCGTCCCTGGATGGCGAGGCCTCGGTGGACCTGGAGCTGGACCTCGAGCGCCGTCGCCGGTACCGGTAGCTTGGCATCCTGGCGTAGGGGGAAGAGGAAGAAGCCTTAAGGAACTCCCGTTTGGTCTTAAACCTCAACTCTTTATTTTTCTCAATGTAAATGTTTACAGCCAGGACGCCCACGGTCTCAGCCACGATAAAGGACAGGGCTCCAAAGTAAAAAGACCAGCCGTAGTTGTAATGGTTCTTTTTGTCTTCGTCTCGCTTGTCACTTGGGTCGCCTGTGTTGCTGGAAATGTAGACGATGATTCCTATGATGTTACTGAGGCCTGAAAGGGAAGCAGGGAGAAGGGCCAGGGAGGGCGAGGGGCCGAGGTTAGATCCACGCTGGACTGATGGGCCAGGGAGCAGGCAGCCGTTCCCCTATTCTGTCGGCTAATTGTTCTTTTAAGTAATTAATTTTGAAATGATCATGCAACACAGACTCTTAGCCATCCAGTTCCCCTCTGGAAGGCAGCCACTGTTATCTTCTTTTTTACATCCTTTCAAGGAGAATCTCTGTCTAGCACAAACGCACACACACACACAAACACATACCCTATGCTTGCCTTTGCTCAATCTCCTTGGATTTTTTACCTACTAGTACATCAGGCGGTCCGGGGTGGTGGCTCACGCCTGTAATCCTAGCACTCTGGAGGCTGAGGCAGAAGGATTGCTTGAGCTCAAGAGTTTGAAACCAACCTGAGCAAGAGTGAAACCTTCCTAAAAATAGAAAAACTCGCCTGATGTCATGGCGGGTGTCTGTAGTCCTAGTACTCAAGAGACTGGCAGGAGGATCACTGGAGCCCAGGAGTTTGAGGTTGCTATGAGTTATGACACCATGGCACTCTACCCAGGGTGACAGAGTGAGACTCTGTCGCAAAACAAAAGTCGCACATCAGGGAGATGGTTCCATATCATTGCATGAAGAGCTGTCCTGTCTTTCTAATTAATGCATAGGTCCCCTCCATGTGGACATCTAACCAGGCCTCTGCTGGGGGCTGTTCAGGTGGCTTCCCGCCCTCTGCTATGATGTTGCCTTGAACATCTTTGTGGCCCTAGCATTGCATGCACGCAAGAATACAACTGTGGGATGTGGTTCCTGAAGTGAAACTCCTGGGTCATGGGGTATGTACATTGAAAAAGCTAAAATATACATTTATTTATTTATTTTTATTATTATTTTTTGAGATGGAGTCTCACTATCTTGCCCTGGGTAGAGTGCTGTGGTATCACAGCTCACAGCAACCTCAAACTCTTGGGCTTAAGTGATTCTCTTGCCTCAGCTTCCCAAGTAGTTGGAACAGGAGCCTGACACTGGGCTATTTTTTTGTTGCAGTTGCCATTGCTGTTTGGCAGGCCCAAGCTGGGTTTGAACCCAGGGTTTGAACTCACCAGTGCAGATGTGGTGCTGAGCAAAAAAAAAAAAAAAAAAAACCTAAAATACACTTTCATTTTTGAATAATTTTTGATTTACCCCCAAATTGCAAAGAAAGCCCAGGAGTCATTGCAGGACCGGCCCTATGAGACTTACTCTGTTGTAGGTCTAACAGAGCCTCAGACCAAAAGGCATGGGCAACAATGACACCCAAATGACATCCAAATTCCTCCCCTTGGAACCAACAAGACGAGGGCAGGACTAGAGCCTGACTACCAGAATTCTTTCAGAAGTGAGGGGTCTGCTGGCCCAGAAGAGCTGGTGTTAAAATCTACTTCAATATCCCTTACCAAACAGTTCAATTTTCAGCCCACCAATCAGACCCAGCCACACCAACATTCCTAAATCCTCTCCTTTGCCCTCCCAGTCACAAACTTGCCCCGCAATTGGGGAGACAGACTTGAGCCCACCTCCCATCATATCCTCGCTGGCTGGCCTTGCAGTGAAGCATTTCTTGCAAGCATTTCTATGTGGTCAGGCCCACAGCTGTGGCTTCTGGGCACATCAGGAAGTGAGCCCATTTGCTCATGACACAGCCCCTTTGCTTCTCACCTGGTTCCCCTCAAGTTTTTTTGTTTGTTTGTTTGTTTGCGACAGTCTTAAGCTGTCACCCTGGGTAGAGTGCCATCATAGCTCACAGCAACCTCCAACTCTTAGTCTTAAGAGATCCTCTTGCCTCAGGTTTTTTTTGTTTGTTTGTTTGTTTTGTATTTTTAGTAGAGACAGGGTCTTGCTCTGGCTCAGGCTGGTCTTGAACCTGTGAGCTCAAGTAATCCACTGGCCTCAGCCTCCCAGAGCGCTAGGATTACAGGCCTAAGCCACTGTCCCCGCCCCAGCTCCCTTCATGTTAGCATCTCATGTTACCATGGAACAATTGTCACCATGAAGACACGGATCTGGTACCTTACCACTAACCTGGACTTTACCGGGTTTCCTTTTTCTGACCTTTCACAGCCCTCAGACACACACACACCAAACTCCTTACACAGACACCCGGCCCCAGATACACACATGCGCATACACACACACCCTGCACACATGTCTATTTATGGCACTGGAAGGAAATAGCAGCTGACAGGTGTGGAAGGAAATGCACAAGAACTGGGGCCCAGAGCCTGGCTCCACCACCCCGGCCGGAGAGCTGGCCAGTCCCCTGACTGCATTGGCACTTAGTTCCCGGATGTACACAGAAGGGCGTCCTCTCCCTCCCCAGGCAAAACCTGAGGAACACGAGGTGGGGGTGGGGTGTCCCTGAGGACCTGTGTCACCCTGGGCCAGGCCTGCCCCATCCTCAGCAGAGAGGGGTCGGGCACCACAACCACTGCTCTGACCATGACCAGCCCTGTGGGCACAAATGGACCCCCCCCCGTGCAGATTCCATGATGACACTCCTGGGCTGGAGAGTCTGGCGTAAGATAAAAAGATGCTCTGAGCGTGGAAGGCTGTGAGGACAGTGCAGAGAACTGTGAGGACAGTGCAGAACGTGGGAAAGCATCTTGGCTCTGTAACACTGCTCACACTTCATTTCCAGGATGAGGCCTAAGAAATCAGCAGCTCCTGTCTTTCCTCATGGGGACCCTACTGTGCCTTTCTCTGACCTGCCCGGTGCCACTCACCCATCAGGAGTTAGCAAGGAGCTCTGCCTGCAGGTGACAGCAGAAGACCCCCAAATACCCCAGGAACTCAGGCTGGAAAACCCGGGTCCCTTGTGGGACTGGCCATGAGCTTTGAACCAGCTGCAAGACACGCCTCAGCCTCTACTGAGGCTCAGAGGAGTGGGTAGTGTTAAACCCTCTGGACCTGCTGTGCAGATGGCATGTCATTGTCACCCATAATCTCTGGCGGTTTTTCTCTGTCCCTCTTTCTGAAGGCAGTGTGGCTCTGTTGCTCCCCCTCCCTTAACCAGGAGGGTCTGAGCAGTCAGGATGGAAGGGGCTGCCAGGATCTCTCTGAGCAGTGGTCATTCACGCCCACTCTGCACCCTTGCCCTGTCTTTACCTGCCAACTCCTTTGGGTCTTGGCTTTGCATGTTACAGCTGCCTCTTCCCAGGAGGCATGGTCCCTAGCAGTGGGGACCACAGTGTCCCCAGCTCCTGCCGCACCTAGGCAGCCCAGGCGGGCACTCACCTGCAGCCACAAAGAGGATGCCGGCACTGAGGACGATGTTGTTCTTGCGGCTGTAGATCCTGCCGGCACCGATGCACAGCCCTCCGAGTAGCAGCAGGATGGTGCTGAGGATGGGGAAGACGCTGGAGGCTCGCACGATGCCTGGGCCGGGAGGGGACAGCAGAGAGGGCAGTGAGACCTCCTGGGCAAGCGTCTCCCAGGAGCACTGAACTCGAGGCCCTTGGGAGCACTGGGCCAGATACAAGTGAGGGCTGAAGGCCTGCTGCCGACCTTCCTGATGCCAGGTGGCCCAGAGTCACATCTGCCGACGTCTCAATGAACCTCTCCCCAGATAGAAGCACTAGGGGGTCACAGTGATAGCCATGAAAACACTGCACTACGTGGCCTTCCCATGACACCTGACTGCCCACCAAGCCCTTTCATGGACATGGTCTCCATGAAGCCTCCAGCAGGCTGGGAAGCAGCATCCCTGGGAGGTGGCTCTCAGAGGTGTCAGTGGCTGAGGGCACACACTGTGGCCATGGGTGAGTCTGCATGTGGGCCCTACTCCCAACACCCTGCTGTGTGGCCTTGGTCAAGTCTCTTCCTGCTCTAAAACTCAGTTTTCCACCTGAGGCTCATTGTAGCACCAGTGTCCTGTGCTAGGTTGTGTCTGTATTAGGTGCTCAGTACAGGACCTGGCCATAGTAGGCACTTCCTAAGTGACATTTTACCTTTATCATTCCCCCTGACAACGAGGGCGTGGAAGTTCACAGCTTATCTGAGGTCATGGGGAAGGAGGTGGCTGGGCAGAATGGGAGGGTTGTAGATTATGATGTCCAACAGACCAGCTGAACTTTAGTCCTCTCTTTTGTAACCTGGGGACAGTAGTAATACCTCCCCATAGGGGACTAAATTGTACCTCCCCAAATATGTCCATATCCTAACCCCTATACCTGTGAATAAGATCATATTTGGAAAAAGGGTCTTTGCTGATGTGCTTATGTCAAGAATCTTAAGATAGGCTTGTCCTGTATGAATAAGGTGGGTCCTGAACCCAATGACAAGTGTCCTTTTAAGAGGAAAAGACACAGGCAGCAGAGGAGACCCTGAGGGGAAAAGTCGTGTGAAGACGGAGGAGGCTGGAGTGATGCTGCCACAAGCCAGGGAGAGCTGGCAGCCACCAGAGCTGGAGGCAGCAAGGAGGGCCCTCCCCTAGGGCCTTCAGAGGGAAAAGGCTCTGAGAATCAACACTGTGACTTTGGACTTTTGGCCTCCACACTGTGACAGCAAACTCCTGTTGTTATCAGCCACCCAGGTTGTGTTCACTTTTCACAGCAGTGCTGGGAAGTGAAACACACCCCTCAGAAGGTCACTGTGGGAAAACAGGAAGCACACCGTGGGGATCCCACCCCTCCACACTTAGTGTCTGGAGTGGGTGTGCGTCAGGCCGGGGAGGAGGCACAAGGATGAGCCCCAGGCTTAGGCTCCCCCTGCACCTGCTGTCTCTCAGCCTAGTGGCAATCTGGCTGCCTGGGCCCTTTATGGCCCCAGCAGGGGACAGTGAGCAGGGGAAGACTGGCAGGCACCGCCCTCCTGAGCCAGCTGAGCTGGTTTCAGGCCTTTCGGCCTCTGAAGGCAGGGTTTGTCTCCTTCTCTGTGAACACACCAATGTGTGGCCTGCTTCACAGAGAGTGGATTGTCTGGGGGTGTTAAATGAAGTTCTTCTCTCTCGCACCTCTTCCTCCCCGGGTCCTCGCTTTGCCTCTGGCAGCAGCAGACACTGGGAAGAGGTTTCTTGTGTGCTTCTGAAACGCCTCTGAGCTGCCCTCATTCTGCTGACGATTAGAGGGGCCAGAGAGAAGGGAGACTAGTTTCTCTAAGATCACGAGAGGCCTGGCCAGGCTCAGAGCCATCCATCTGCCCATGTAAGTCACGGAAGCACCTGTCCCTTGCCACACAGACTTATTCCTGAGCTCTAGATGTGCAGAGGCAGCTGGATGTGCTGTGGACAGTGGTCCAGGTTGGGCACAGAGCAGGTGGCTGAGGGACGAGAGAGGCTGAAGTCCAGCCCATTCCCCACTGGCCACATTAAGCCCTGGTGATAGGATCTTTGTCCAGTTGGAGACCCATAATTCCTCCAAACTCACCCTCAGGCACACTGTGGACTCCTGGCAGCCCTGATACCAGCAGTTCATAGCTTAGCATAGAAATTATCCACTAACTGGAACCGTGAAATCTGGAAAGGGGCACCAGAGCCAGATGGGGAGGAGAAGCAGGGCCTGCGGGAGAGACGGCAGGCAGGATGTGGGGTGTGGCCCCTCAAACCCTGGGCTGTGAGCCTGCAAACCATTGCAAGAACTTGCAGGCCTTCAGGAAGCCCTGTGACGAAGAATGCATGCCTGGATTCTCTGGAAGGCTACAAAATATGGGGCTGGCAGCGGACTTGTCTCCTGAATTGTCAAATGCTGGGAATCAGTAGCGCAGCCTTGGACCTGCCCAGGCTGGTGCTCCACACCTGCACAGCTGAGCCGCCACCAGAACAGGCTATCCTGTGGGCAGCCCCATGGTGGAACCTTCTGTTACCTTCTCTAGAACACCTGTTCTCTGCCAAAATATCAACACTGTGAGGGCAGAGGTCTGCTTTGCTGATGTAGCCCATGTGTCTAATGCTGTGCCTGACACATTGTAGGCCCATGGGAACTTGTTCAATGAATAAATAAATGAATTGTTGTGAATTCTCACCTCTTGCACATGTCAGCCCCCAGAGACCCCTCTCCTGTGCTTCTACATAGCTTTGGTTTTGTGTTTTTTTTTGCTTCTATGTATCTTTGGCATCCACAGTCTGGACAGAGAGAGATCAGAAGTTGGAATGCCAAGAATCTGAGTGGCCTGGGAAACACAAGCCAGGTGCTCAGGGTGACTATGACCATGACCTTTTCCACCCTTGGCTCTAAGTTCACAGGCACCTGCATTCTGCAGGTAAAGAGCCATCAGAGACATGTGTAGAGCTCAGTTTTAGGGCCAAACATCCCTATCTCTGCAGCCCCAGAGTGGAAACACACTTCCATCTCTCCATCTGGGAAGTCAGCTCTCCCCCCACAGCCCCCCAGCTCCACCAGAAGCTGGAGACCATGGGCCAGGAGGCATCAACCCATCTATTCTGTGGGCATCTCTGGACTTGTTAATGAACCTGGCTGTTCTCCCCACAGCAGACACTTAAGGAAACATGTCCTTTCCAAATGAGCTTTAATTGCTGTTGTGCCGTCACCATCACTCTATTTGGGAAAATCACTTTGCAGATCTCCCAGGACTGTGCCCTCCCCGAGGACCTCCAGACCTCCCTCCACCCTTCTCCATCCTGCCCTGGACCCCAGGGGACTGGGTGTGTCATCTGAATCCTCCACCGTCAGTGAGGGAGTGTTCCCCTGGCTCACTTGCTGCCAGACTACAGATGAAGAGGCGGTATTTCTTCACGATGGCCACAGCCCCGCCAGGCGGCCCCATCCTTACGTCCCCTCCTGCAGGTTCCCACAGATGCCTCCCTCCCTGTGCAGGCGGGGCAGTGTAAGGGCTCCTCCTGGCTTTCCCTCAACCCTGCCCACACCTGTTCAAATGGTCCTCCATTCATTTCCCTGTTTGAGCATAATGTCTGCTTCCTGCTGGGAACCCCGGAAGCAAATGGGCTGACCTCTGGGCTGATGTGTCTTTGGCGGGGGGTGATATGTCTTGAGGCCAATCCAGAAAGAGATCCCAAAGCTCTAGGGCCATGAGTGGGACAGGGATGGACAAGTAAGGAACAGCCAGTGCCAATGCCCTTAACCTCTGGCCAGTTCCCATGGGAGATGGAGAGGGAGCAGTTTTTTTCCCCAGCACCTCCTTCCTCAGAATCCCAGAAGCATCACAAGAACTTGGAGGCCTTCAGGAAGCCCTGTGACAAAGATCACAACCCTGGCTTCTCTGGAAGGCTATAGGATGCACGGCTGGCAGGTGACTTCCTTCCTGAATTATCAAAGGATGGGCATGTTCAGCACAGCCTTGGGCCTTCCCGGGCTGGCACTCCACCCCTGCACAGCAGAGCCACCAGAGAAACAGGCTCTCTCATGTCAGCCCCACCACAGGGCTGGGCTGGGCAAAGAACAGCAAATTCTCAGTTAGGGTTGATTTCCAATTGAGCTAACCCAGCTGGGCTTAGTGCCAAGGACCCCTGGAGATGGCTGGGCAGGCCATGTACTACACAACTTGAAGGGTATCATTCATACCTTTATGTCTACGCAAGGGACATCCTGTGAGCTGTGCAGTGTGCAACCCATGTAACTATCTGTGATGGCCCTGTGGGAATCTCGTTTGCTTGGTTCAGTATGGGCCCATAGTAAGCAGAACCAGAGGACAGGCAGGAGGAGGAGGGGAAGGTGGGGGTGGGGAGGGATGGGAGGCAGAGCTCTGGTCAAATTATTTCAGGCCTGGCCAGAGCAGCCTGACACTGCCCCAGGCTCCATGGGAACTGCACGCTGTTCTGTTTCACTAGATGACTCAGAATCAAAATCCTTTCTCTTAGAAAAAAGCGATCCATGAGCAGGTGCAGAGTGAACTGTGTTCCCTCTGAGGGCGCTGGTATCGATTCTCCATAAATAAGGCTGGGCCCCAGCCCCAGAGGTGCCGCTGGGAGCAGCTCTTCCTGTGTCTTGGCTAATGTGAAAGGGGGAAATGACTTCCAAATGGTGCCGTTTTTCTCATTTCCAGGCTCCTGCTCAGTGATGGCGCTTTCCTTCCTCCCAGAGAGGTATTCACAGGCCCAGGGCTGAGATCTGGATTTAGGGTGTGGGCTGTGGTGTTCTTTAGAGTTCAGGATGTGTTGTGACTTTCAGCTCTCATCTGGGGCCCCCACCCAACCACAAGACCCAGGCAGGAGAAGGGGGCAGGGAGTGTCATGAAAGACTGAGGCTCAAATATCAGAGGACACCCCTGCACTCTCCTCCGCTCCTCCCCCAGGCATCTCAACACCCCATGAAGCTGTCTTGGTGTACGAATTTATCTGATTTTCAGGACTAGGGTGCTGGGGAGTGTGGAGGGGCAAGGTGGCCAGGCCCAGCCCTAGCAGGGCAATGTGCTGGGGTGCCACACCCCTCCGGGGTGCCTATACCTTCAGCCAATGAGCAACTCTGAAGCAAGCCTTGCCCAGCAGCCCCAGGAGGGGGAAAGCAATGCCCAGCATCCTCTCTGCTCTGTGAGGGTCTCCCCAGGCAAGGGCCCTTCAGCCAAGTAACCCCTCTGGGATGCCCAGTGTTCCAGGTAGTGTTGAACCAAGCTCCCTTCTCCTGGTCTCTGAACTCACCTCTTCTGAATCCCAGAATGACTACAGCACCCTGAGAAAAGCACCCTCTTCATGTTCTAAAAATCCACCTTTCCTCCAGCCACCTATCCACCACCCTTTCCCCACACACGTGAAAGGGGAGCCAGGGCTTCCTGACACTCACGGAGGAGATATTCCGAGCTGTCGTGGTCATAATCATTGTCCTCAGGGAAGTGATTGATCCGGAAGCAGTGCCCTTTGTAGATCCCTGGAGGGAACCAGAGGAAAAGGACATTGTAAATGTACGGCGGGTTCTCTTCTCCATTCACTCCCGTTAAGCTGTGTGGGCCTGGGAACAGAGAGAGAAGAGGCCACCTCCAGGGTCCCGGGGCTGGTGGGGGCACGAGAGAGATACAGACTGAGATGTCCCCCAGAGGTGACCATATTGCTTACGGTCCAAGTCCAGACACCTGGGAGAGTAAAGGGTCACACTATGATAACTGACAAGGAGCTAGCTAAGCAGTCCTGCCCTGAGCAAGCAGCAGGTGGGATCTCCTACCAAGGGGACTCTCGTCTCCATCATGAAACAACAAAGAATTTGTGTGCTAGGTTGGGGCTCAGGGGGCCTTCTAGGCAGAGGAGTGAGGCATGCAAGGGTCCAGGGTCAGAGTCTTTCTCTCTCTCAAACCAGCGTTACAGTGAATGCCTCTTAAGGTACACAGCCGGTGCAGGTTCCAGGCTCCCGACTCAGCGCGATTGAAGGAAGAGAAGAGGGAGTGAGAGAAACTTCTGGAAGGGCTGAGACCATCTCCTTCCTGTTTTTCTCTTCTCCACTCTGAGAAGTGGCCTTCCTAGGATGGCAGGCAGAACCCCCTGGGTAGTTTAGTAACTGTAGGAGGACAAGTCAGACCTCCCTTCCAGAATCTTCCATTCAGCTCTCCACTCCTGTGCTTCTCTCAGTCTGAGATGTCCAGCACAGAACTGGATGGCAGTGGAAAGCGGGTGGTCACAGGCTGTCTCTGTCACACCCCGTCTGCCAGCCACACTCCACATGGCCGGCTCAGCCTTCTGTCTTGGGTGGCCTATACTGGGACAGTTTCCAACTGGGGCCAATTCTTTTCCTGCAGTGGTCCCCAAGCACCCCTGATCTTGGTTGGTCAGGAGCACAGTCTTGGCAGCAGGGTCTGTGGCAGACACACACCATCTCTCCCAGCTTCTAGCCAGGAGAGATCCCTAGTGAGCCAGGAGCAGGTGCTCTGCCACCTGGTCACCAAATTGTTGGTTACTAGATGGCCGTCCCTGAGCACGCCCCTCTTCTGGGCTCCCTCAGGTGCTGGGGTGCTCAGTAGTAACCCAGACTCTTCAATGCACCTGGGCCTCAAGGGCCAGCAGTGGGTGGGCTGGGCCCAGTCAGGGATGGTGACGAGACAGAGTGAGGGCCTCGGAGGTGATGCCTAGAGTGGGACATGCTTTGACAGCGTCCTCTGTGTGGGATCTAACCTGAACAACAGAGTTAACTCCTCAGTTTCCCCATCTGCAGAATGGGCATAACCACAGCCCTTATCTCCTGGAGATCTTAGGAGCTAACAGTCGACAGTCACTTCAGGTGCTTATTGGCCCTAAGTGGTGGCTCAGGGGAGATTTGCTTCTATTGGACGCAGAAATCACCCATCCTCTGCTCTTTCGTGAGCAGCTGAATTGGGGGAGGACGACGAGGGTTTGTGAGCAAGAGGAAAGAGCACCACCAGGACAGACAGGCGGGCATCAGGGGTGGGGGACATAGAGGCCAGCATGGCCAGCCACACCTCCCTCACTTCTGGCTTCCACACCCCAAATGTCTGTGGACCAGGAATAAGTATTTCCCCAGATAGGGCGGGCTAGGTGGATCTCTCCCACACTCCTTCTGCTCCCTTCACACACTTTATTTATTTGTTTGTTTGGCTACTTCATGGGTCTAAACAAAATGACCAAGTCAACTTGTTGGGACAAGTCGAACAAGAGATTAAAAAAGAAAAAGTAGATAATCTCTCCGTTCAGATTTGTTCTTCAGTGGAAGACCCTTCAGTTGCTACGTAACTTCCCAGATCTTTTTATACACACACACACACCTGTAAGTGAGGTCCCCTCATCTTTAAAAATATTCTGCTTTTCTTGAGAGAACTGCAGTTATAAGAGATAATACTGGAACCATCCAAGCACCGTCTATACCCAGTTCCCCCCAATAGAAACATCTTGCAAAATTATAGTCCAATAATCCAACCAGGGACAGTGCCTTTGATAGGTCAAGTGAGAACGTTCACATCCCCACCAGGGTCCCTCCTGAGAGCCTTTCATAGCCCTGTCCACCTCCCTCCTCCTCATTCCCTCCTTGACCCAAGGCAGCTGTAAAGATGTTCTCCATTTCAGTAGTTTTGTCATTCCAAGAATGTCATACAAATGGAATCATACAGCATGTAACCTTTGGGGACTGACTGTTTTCGCCTGGCATAACTCTCTCGAGATTCGCCCAAGCTGTTGTGTGCATCCATCACTTGTTCTGCCTTATTGCTGGGCAGCGTCCCCTGGCACGAGTGTCCCCTTGTTTATTCACTCATTCACCCCCGATTGAGTTACCAACATGCCTGCAGAGGAGAAGGGCATGAGTTATCTTTGGCCTCATGGAGAATAAATGGGATTGTTCTCCACCCTAAAGGTAAGAGTAAGGAACAGGCCCCTAAAAGGTCAGACACTTTCAGCCATTTCTTCACTGATGTCTCCAAGATCCTTCTTCACGCTGGCTGCCACCTCTGAGTCTGCTCCCAACTCTCGGTGCCAGATAAGGAGTTCCCACCACAAAACCCGGCATTCTGGCCAGCCCAAAGCACATGGGCACCGCCCTCCTCTTCCCTGGCCCCCACGCTTCTGTTGAGAGGACATGGATAGCCCTGGACTCAGTCTCCTAGGACCTTTGCACCAGAGTTACCTCATTCCTCCTCGATCTGTTTTTGTGGAGTGGTGTGTTAAGCTCGAAGGACTTCACATTTATCCCTGTCACATTTAATTTTGTTAGTGTTGGCCTAAGGCGTTTAATAGGGAGGAAATTAATGGCTGATGCAGAAAGTAAGAGAGAAAGCCATTTCCAATCCACACCACACACGTTCTCTCTCCGCAAACTGGTTGCTCGCTGTGTTATCTATTGAGAGATATGTAAGGTGGGTAATTCTGAGATCCTGAGTGGTCAAATAGTAGGGATATTGGCCCACGATCCCAGGCACGCTGCGGCTCTGGCCTTCCTGAGGGTCAGGAAATGACCGGTGTGAGGCTTCATGGTTAGTCACATGGCTTCAGGCAACTTGTTCCGTCACCTCTAAAACTCAGGGATTGGGCGAGAGGGAGCAGCTCCTGCTTTAAGGCCCTGTGACTGTTTTTTGGAGAAAAGGAACAGGAGTGAGTACACATATGTACACACCCATCATCTCACTCATCTCCATCCACAGTGGGCCGCTTTTATTAGAGCGATTTCTGTGGGCACAGGAAACATCCAGAAAGTAATATCCCCGAACATGTCCAGTCTTTTATTTCTGGGCGACAGGGGAATGAATGGATTAAATTGGTCTTCTTTGCATTCTTCTGTGTTTTCTGAATTTTCTACAATGTCTGAAAATGAATCAATAAAAGAAACTAAGAAAAGAGACTGGATTCTTTGATTGGAAGTGAAGATGATATGGTGGGTCTGAAATGACCACAGAGGTATTCAGACACAGGAGCTGGTAGTGGAGGTGTGAACCGAGGTGAGTACTTGGGTGGCATGCTAGTCTCTCATGGGTGAGTCTTCCAGTCTCTTCTCCCTCTGTGACCTCTGGGAAGGTCATGTCCTGGGGTTAAGCCCCCAAGTACAGCCAGGTGACCAACCTGGGGGACTCATCACCCAAGATAAGCTACCTCCAGGAGAGCTCTGGGCTCAAGCTACCACAGAGGACAGGATTTCCAGTGCTAACTCAGGAGAGTTCTGTGAAAACCAGGGCATGCTGGTCACCCTCTAAGCCATTTTGGGGCCACTGGCACCTGACATAAGCCTCCATAATGGGCTTCCTCAGAGGCCCGATGTAATTAAGGGAATCCTGGAGGGAAGAATGTCAGAGGGTGACTTACTAATGGCAATCATGCCTGAAATCCTTTGTCATCTGCATTTCCTTAGCGTTACCTCATTTGATCCCCATAAACAGGCCCCTGCTGAGAGTGCCCCTGAAATCTCTGAGCCCACCTCTCTGCCCAGCCATGCACAGCTGCAGCAGCCACCTCCACGCAGGTGCACTGACACCTCACTTCAGCCGCACCAATTATTTTCTGGCTTCCTGCCCCTGGCACTGAGCAGGCTGCCTGCGGGAAGTGCCCAGCACCGCGCATCTGAAGTTGGAGGGATTACCAACCCAGGGGCAACCTCTGAGCAGTGGAGGACAGGACTGGTCCCTGGGGTGGGCCGTTCTGAAGTCCATTCTCCACTGCTTCTAAAGGAGTGAGTCCCTGCAGGGCCAAGCCAAGCGGTGATCAACTCAACTGAAGATGTCCTCTATGCTGCTTCTCCTCCCCCATGCCTGTCCCCTAGGATGCCCATCTGGATACACTGAAAGGCCTGGCCAGACCGAGAGGAAGATGGATGAACTGAGCGTGTTCCATGGCTCGGCCCATTTCACCTCTACGCTGATGCAACTTTGAAATGGAGGGAAGAGGCGTAGGGATATCAAAAGACCTGCTTCCCCAAGTCCCTCTGCAAATGAACATTCTATGCTCTGCTTGGAAACAACATTGTTCTGGCCCCATTTAACAGAAGAGGAAAGTGAGGCTCTGGAGACACCCGGTGCGCAGAGTGGTGGCCCCTGGAGCCCAGCTGCCCGAACCCTTGTCCCCTCTTCCCTCACCGCCTCGATGCTGCTGCTTTCCCAAGAATCCTCTATGGAGGCAGGACAGGGGCTCCACAAGCAGCGTGGCCCTGCGGATCATCTGCCCAAGACAGAACAGGAAGCGAAACCAGAGGGCCATCAAGAGAGACCCGTGAGCTTCAAGAAAATGGCTTCCTGACAGAGAAGGGGAGGCAATGGGAATCTCCAGGCCTCGGGAAGGAAGGCGGCTCGGGATCAGCGGGGCTGTCATTTCCAGGCCCCTTTCCGATCTAGGGTGGGATGAACGTGGATATAAAGTGAAAGGGGCAAGCAGGCCTGAGACTGAGCGGGGCCTTTCTGTTCCCTCGTGCCCCATTCATTCATCCTCGGCAGACTTCAGCTTGCTCAT